CATCCTCAGCAGCGAGATATCGTCCAGGACGAACTCCTGTGGAAAATGTTGGGACAGTGTTCAGTGTAGGTGCCCCCTGAAGCTGTTGGCTCTCCCCAAGGCACAGAAACCCAGAGGACAGTGCAGCCCTGAAACAATCAGTCCCCCTTACTCACCATTTTGAGGCTCCTGTGGGATATGTGTGCTCTGTTTTGGACGGGAAAATTATGCTATTGTGTAGACCCTGAGTGTTTTCTACTCCTTAAGTGCAGGGGAAATCATTACTCTGTCTGCTATAAACAATGCTGCCTCTGTTAAATGTTGCATTTTGCCTATACAGCAGCATCAACCTTGAGACCTCAGCGGTCCCTCTTATCATTGTGAAAACGGTCGACTTTCCCATTCCAAATGGTTTGCGACCGACCGGTAGCTGTCTGGAGTTGCCAGCTTCCAGATTGCAATAGCCACCCGCTTCTCCACTGGCAGGGCAGCTCTCAATCTCGTGTCCTTGCGCCGCAGGGTGGGGGCGAGCTCCTCACACAGTCCCATGAAAGTGGCTTTTCTCATCCGAAAGTTCTGCAGCCACTGCTCGTCATCCCAGACTTCCATGACGATGTGATCCCACCACTCGGTGCTTGTTTCCCGAGCCCAAAAGCGGCGTTCCACGGTGCTGAGCATGTCTGCGAATGCCACAAGCAATTTCGTGTCGTACGCGTTACGCGGCTCGATAGCATCATCGGACTCCTCACTCTCACTGTCCCTTTGGATCTTAAGGAATAGTTCGACAGCCCAATGTGATGTGCTGGCGAGACTCGTCAGCATACGCCTCAGCAGTTCGGGCTCCATTTCCCGCAGACAGATCGCGCTGCACAGAAACCATTGAAAGATGGCGCCAAAGGTGGACAGAAACAAAGGGATTTCTGGGATGCGAAGCGATGCATCACAGGGCGTTGGGACAGGACCCAGAATCCCCCGCACCCACGCCCCCTTCCCACAACCCATGGCACCGGAATGGGAAGAGGTGCTCTGTGGGATAGCTGCCCATAATGCACCGCTCCCAATGGCGCAGCAAATGCTGCAAATGTGGCCACACCACTGCGCTGGCAGCTGTCAGTGTGGACAGACTGCAGCGCTTTCCCTACTCAGCTGCACGAAGTCAGGCTTAACTCACAGCGCTGTACAGCTGCAAGTGTAGCCAAGGCCTGAGGTTCTACTGTACCATCGTCTGAATTAACTGTTCCCTATCGAGTCAGTTTTACAGTCATGCAATAGCAGGATCTGGAGTTAGAACGTACAATACACTAGGCCAGAACCCCACCGCTCTACGTTCCCTTTTCGGTTTCTCTGTATTCAGCCTCTGTATGTCCCGAGTTGGCAGGCAAATTTCTCAGGATGGTTCATTGTATCTTGAGCCATCCTCTTGTGGCATCTTTGTTTGCTGTTCTGAGCAGAGTGACCAGATGTCCCTATTTTATAGGGACAGTCCCGATATTTCTGTTGCTGCACCTGAAGGTGCTGGGTGGACGTTTTGTCCGCACTATTGGCTTTACTTTCGCTCCAGCTCACTTCCTCCTCATTTCTTAAGCCCGTTTCTCTTTGCTCACAGCTGGTTTCTGTCACGTTTCATTTGTGTTTTACTTCTCTTGCGGTTTTCTAACAATTGCTTAGGTACTTAGCGACTCTTTTTCCTTCCTGTTTCACTGCCCGGTTCTTCCGTTAACTTTCCCCCTCATGCCTCTGTCTTTCCTCTGTCTGCCTCCTCCTGTTCCTGCCATCTCTGTCCCTTCTCAACGGGACTTTCTCCCTGACAGCTCTGTGCCTGCTGCCCTTCGATGACACAGCTCAGCCACCGGGTCCCTTTCCACTGTCTCCCGCTCGCTGGGTCCCTGCATTTCTGGTGCCGGTTGTTACCTCGCTGGCTGCTGGTGTCTCTCTCCCAGCGCTGGACACCCTCCCTCCAAACTCTACCAGACATTTCCGCCGGAAATGGTGCGGGGCGGGAGGTATGGGGGGGTGGGGGTAGCTGCTGGCTGCTGTCCCCGGCTGTTTTCTTTCTCCTCCCAGAAAAAAATCCCGCCCCAGGCTCGAGGTCCCCCCACTGCCGCTGCCCGGGAATCCTTGGGGGTCTCCCCACAGCTGTTGTTTCCAGACTGCTTCTGAGCAGCCAACGTGTGCAGCTCCCACTGCTCTTGAACCCGACAGCCCCCAGCCCCGGTGGGCATCACACAGCCAGCCCTGGAATGCAGGCACAGGCTGGGGGCGGGGCCGGCTGGGCAGCACCTGGGCCCCGACTCCTCTGTGCATCCCCAGAGCGGGAGGAGCTGGGGGAGCCTCCCCCTGGGAAAAGCTGCTGCTTTGCAGCTCCCCTGGGGGCAGGGATCCCCCCTCCCTCGGCCCTGAACCTCCAGCGGCTGCTGCTCCCCCAGGCTGGGAACCCTCAGTGACTCCGTGCCCAGTCACAGGCTGGGCGTCCCCTCTGCTGAGTCCCAGGGCTCAGGGCAGAGCCTGGCGCTGAACGTACCATCAGCACAAAGACCCCCTGAGGATCTGGCTGGGGGTGGGGCTGGGAGTGGGGATGCTGAGCCGGGTCCCTCACCTGCTACCACCAGCTCCACGGAGTCGCTGGGATGTGACCAGACGGGCAGGTCCGATTTGATGCTATATCCACAGCTGTAGCTCCCTGCATCTCCCCAGCTCACGTTGCTGATGGGAAACTCAACCACGTTCCCAGCCGGCTCCGCGTCCTGCAGCGCGTTCGGGTTCCCATCTTTGTACAGAAGGAACGTCGCGTTCTGGTGCCGATCCCGACACCGAATGGTCACAGCTCCCCCCGGGGTCACCCGCCTGCTGGGGCTCAGGGAGATGGAAGGTTTGGGGAAGCTGAGCTCTGCAGTGAGAAGGAGACAGGCCGTGAGACAGACCCCAGCACAGTCACTGCTCCCCACCTCCCCATGGGGCCCTGGGAGAAAACCCAGCCAGAGGAACCTCTCCGAGATCCCAGAGATTCCTGGGAGCTACGACTGAAACTGCCCGAGGACCTAAATCCAGAGCACCCCTCTGTACCTATCTACTTAATGGGTCCCCCAAGACCAATGTCTCCCCTTCCCATCCCTGCCCCATGGGATCAGACCCATAGGCCCATCCAGCCAGTATCCCCCTCCCCCAGTCCCCTCCTGGATCAGACCCACAGGCCCTCACAGCCGCTGTCTCGTACCCAGCAGCCGCCAGTAGCTGTTGTATCTCTGGCAGGGGCTGGAAACCCACCGCTCTCAGTCTGGTGGCACCGGATTGGGCCAGATTGTGTCTGGTACAAAAACACCCGGCTCCTCCCCAGCGCTTCGCACCCGCAGATCTCACAGCGCTTCGCAGAGGGGGGCAGGGCATCTGCCCCATTTTACAGAGGGGGAAACTGAGGCAAAGAAAGAGTCAGGGACTCGGCCAAGGTCCCCCAGAAAATCAGGGCCATACCAGGAATGGCAGCCAGCTCTCCTGAGTCCCAGCCCCTGCGCTCTCCCCACTAGGCCACACAGCCACCTGGCAGTGGGTTCCGTGTGCTGGCTGTGCCCCAAGCGCCGGCTCCGCAGCTCCCATTGGCCGGGAACCGCGGCCAATCGGTACTGAGGAGGTGGTACCTGCAGATGCAGGCAGCGCACACTGCACTGAGCCGCCTGGTCGTGCCTCCGCCTAGGGGCCGGACATGCCGGCCATTTCCGGGAGCAGCGCAGAGCCAGGGCAGGTGGGGAGCCTGCCTTAGCCCCGCTGCACCACTGACTCGGAGCCACCTGAGGTAAGTGCCGCCCAGTCAGAGCCCGCACCCCAAAC